TTTAATTATGTTCAATTTGTAACAATGAAATTGGGGGTCACCACAACATGAGGAACTGTATCAAAGGGTCGTGACATTAGGAAGGTTGAGAACCACTGCTCTAAGCTATTCACCAATACAATGACACAAAATATCTGCAGGGGCTTGGAGCTCACACGAAGAGGAAACCCACAAAAGCATCCTCCTGATAAAAGGGACAGCGTTCTCAGGTCCCACTGAAAAGTGGCAGGTGTGACTTAGGATGAAGGCTCAAAGACATACACACACACACACACACACACACACACACACACACACACAGAATAGCCCTAGCTGGTTTGGTTCAGTGGATAGAGCGTTGGCCTGAGGACTGAAAGGTTCTGGATTCGAGTCTGGTCAAGGGCACATGCCTGGGTTGCAGATTTGATCCCCAGTGGGGGGTGTGCAAGAGGCAACCAATCAATGATTCGCTCTCATCATTGATGTTTCTATCTCTCTGTCCCTCTCCCGTCTTCTCTGAAATCAATAAAAATATTTTAAAAAAAGAAAGAAAAAAAAGAATAAACCACAGGCCCTAGCTGGTTTGGCCAGTGGATAGAGCATCGGCCTGCGGACCAAAGGGTCACAGTTCAATTCCCGTCAAGGACACACACCTCGGTTGCAGGCTCCTCCCTGGCCTGGGCTCTGGTCAGGGTACTGTGGGAGACAACCAATCCATGTGTTTCTCTCACATTGATTTCTGTCTTTTCCTCTCTCTTCCACTCTCTCTAAAAATCAAGGGAAAAATATCATCGGGTGAGGACTTTAAAAAAAAAGAAGAAACCATAGGAGCCCGACTGGCATTGCTCATTGCTCAGTGGTTGAGCGTCGACCTATGAACCAGGAGGTCACCAGTTTGATTCCCAGTCAGGGCACATGCAGGCTCAACCCCAGTAGGGGTTATGCAGGAGGCAGCCGGTCAATGATTCTCTCTCATCATTGATGTTCCTATCTTTCCCTCTCCCTTCCTCTCTGAAATCAATAAAAACATATCTGATTTTTTTAAAAAAGAATAACCCATAGGAGATACTTATAAAATTTGTTACGCTGTTTATATCACTGCAGGGACTTAGTAGGGACTTAGTAGTAAATTTCAGTACACCTTTGGGATGTTCTACCTCTTGTTTGCCAAAACTCATCAAATTAAACCTTAAGAAAGGGGAACAGGCTAAGGCCAGAGAACGAGCCCTGGAAAGTTCCCCCAGCCTCCATCTACCTTTGGATTTCCAACTGTTCATAAAGAGCAAGATTAACATAAGAGGTATTCTGAAAATGGTGCAAAAATCCTAGTTTAAAATTAAACATTTCTCTGCATTCACAATCAATAGATAGAGGGCTGAATACAACCAACCTCTCTAAGCCACCCTAGCACTCAGCCATTTGCATTGCTCCCTCATGTCATCAGCTTTCTCTGAGAAGAGTCTCCAGAGAGTGTGTCCTGACTCCAGCGGCCGTCTCCACAGCAGCATTCGCTTTCCTGAGCCAGCTTCAGGGGAGGGAGCATTTAACCACTCTGGTTTGCCCGAGGCATCTGGCCCAAGCCCTCCGAAACCCCCATCTCTGGGAACAGGTCCTGCCTTGCTACTCCCAACCTGCTGACCTCTGGGATAAGGGTGGACAGAAAAATACAGAGCACAGAGCACGCACACACTCACGCACAGGTTGCCCAGTAGGAGAGAGGGCTATCGCCAGGGAGTCTCAGGGGAATGGGCAATCTAGTGCCCAGCTAGACACAATTCACAAGCGTTGCCACTTATTTCCAATAATAGGGAAGAGGAAGAACTAGTCAGTAAACCATGATGGGAAAATGAGCTGTTTTCGGGGGAAGGAGAGCGGGGCCTATCTCATATCAAACAGTAAAAGAAGTTCCAGGTGCCTCTATTGTTAGAAATGATGCAAGAAAACTAAAAATGCTCATGGAGATTTAGACGGTGCTGAGATTTTTAAGAACATTACAAAAGCTTAGTTTAATGAATGGTATATAAATATTAACATATCTGAACTAAATTAAGAGACAAATGAAAATCTGAAAAAAAATATTATAAGCCCTATCACAAGTTATGCCAAAACATAAGTGCCTTATAGGAAAAAAATCTGTTCATAGACAATTGAAAGAAACACGGATAAATGGGTCAACAGACATAAAAAAAGTTCCACCACTATAATTCAAATAAATTCACATTAAAACTAGTATTTTTAACCTTTCTACCTAGAAAAATAATTTGTGTATTCAAAGTTGACAATGAGTGGTTTAAGCACATTGATAAGTTGGTCAAATCCTGTTAGAAAACAATTTGGCTTTCCACCAGTTGCTCTACTTTTAAAAATATAGAAAAAAGGAAAGATGCACGAAAAATATGAACATGGATGTACATTACATCATCATACACAGAAACAAACTGTGTTCAACCAAAAGTGAAAGACTGCATAAACTACAAACTTTAAATAGCATATTTTGAAGATGAATGCCATAAAGAAATGTTAACCATAGGAAATTAAGGGATCAGGATCAAAACCAGTTTTACAGAAAAGATGTGTGCACCCACAGGTGTGCTTAAAGAGGTTTAAAGAGAAGACTTAAGAGACCGCCAAAACATCAGCACCTGTACTAGGCTAAATAGAAATAAGTCATCCTTTCCCTTTCTTCTTTTTCTATAGTTTGGAATTTTTGTTGTTGTTACCTTCTAGTAGGTTTTTTGGAATTTCTTGCAGAAATAGAAAAACATACATTCTTTTAGAAAATCCACAATTACCAACAGCCAATAATGTACAATTCCTCTTAGATCCCAAGCCCAAATGTGCTGTGAAAACACCAAAACCCTGGTAAAGTCATCTGCATAAAAGTCAGTGAGCTCCTTATTGGTATCTTTAAGATAAGTAGCTGCAAGTTTACAAGTTTAGAAAGCAGGTGAAATTGGAGAAGCTGAAAACTTGGTTGTTGTTCTCTTCAAGGTGGGCCTTGTCTCCAGGCAGCACTTCCTCCTGGCTGGGCTCATTTCAGCTTTCACGCCTGCAGCCAGAGGGGCACACAAGAAAATCACTAAGGTGCCCCAGACTTTAAAATTCCTCAAACTGCAGAAGGTAAATCAAGACACGATGGCCACTGTGGTCAACAATTGACTTCACAAACACCTGCCCTTTTTTAAACTATAATACTGGAATGACAATGGAGGAGTGGCTTAAAACAGAGAGTCAGTCTCAACTTTCCATGAGAATTACCTGGGGTGCTAGTTTAGGTAAACGCTAACCCCAGAGTTTCCAATTTTACAGAATTGCTGTGGAATGGGTGCTGGAGAACTTGCATTTCTAACAAAGCTCCCTGGTGATGTGCATGAGGCAGAGGTGGATGCCATACTCTGAGAACAGTTGCCCTAAAGGAAGGTAACAGATGTTTCCTGTGGCCCAACCACCTCACAACTCCAGTCTGTAAGAACAACAGTGAGTTTAGAATGGCCTTCTCCATGGATTTAAGAGCCAACAGAAGTGGCTCAGCACAGCGGTTTGGAACACAGGCCAGGACACCAGACTGCCTGGTTTGGGATGCTGCTCCACCACGTACTAGCTATGTGATCCTGGGCAACTTACTCAACCTCTCTGCTTCAGTGCCTTCAGGGGGAAAACAGATAATTGCTCCTTCCCCTCCAGGAGGGAAACCAGAAATGGATGCCTACTCAAGTCATTCATGAGAAGTCCTCACCACCTTCCCATTTCCACGTACAAACATTTCCAAAATCCACAAATAGGAAGTGCTTCCACAGCGCCTTGCCCTGCCTGAAGTTACGGAGATGTTTGCCTCCTTCATTATAATTTATAATAAGCAGACATAGCCTTCTTCCCCTTTCATGTAGAGAAGGGCACCAAACAGCCAAGGTCTGTTCCACACATGCTGAATACACCGCAATCAAAGCCCGTGCAGGAGGATCCCCTTGGAATCTCTTAGAATATGTGGGAAAGGTGAAAGGAGGGTTAGGGTCGAGAAACAAAAGATCTAACCATCAACCAAATGTGATTCAAGTCCAAGGGTTCAGGGCCCACCTCCTTCCTAGTACCAGCTCCTAGATATAAAACTTAAAGAGCATCACCTCTGTGGGCCGACTTTCACCGATGTGTTTCCACCCAGCTCAAGGGCCTTTCAGTGGTTTTAGGACCATAGGAGTCCCGGGAAGAACTACCTGCATCAATACCCTGAATTGCTTCCCTAGAGGCTAGAGATCCCTATAAAACCTACCCCTTTGTAGACCTCAAAGGTGCAAGTGGATATATTCGCAATAGGAAAGGGGCTGGTCAAGGACGTGCTCCAGTCATGGCTGTGTGTCCCAGGCAAAAGAAAGCCGCGTTCAAGTGTCTCCATTCATGAAATAAATAATAAAGCGTTCTTAACCCACAGGAAATTTGCCACAACTAGGTACTAGGACACCCAGTGTGAAACAGACATGAAGAAAGAGCGAGGGGAAGAGACAGACACGGTCCAGGACACAGAGGGAGCCGCTGGAGTTGGAACTCGGCGGCACGTAAGGAATATCGGAAGAGGTGGGGACACTGTTGGGAGATGGCAATGGTCCAGGGCACTAAATTGGCTTCGGCTGCAGGGAGACCAAGCAAGCTATTCATAAGCTGCTGGCTTAGAAAGAAAGAAAAGGGTGCAGCTTTCGTTCAGAAGTGCAAATCCCTGAGCCTCAGGGGGGAAGCCGAGTACGGTGGGCGGGTTGGAGAGATCCAGTCTGTTCTCCCGCGGGGCTACCTCCTCCTCCCCGGCGAGCGGCGCGGCAGGGAGCCCCAGCGGCCCCGCCAGCAGGGCTCCCGGTCCCCCTCCGGGGCCTGCTCCCGCCCGCCCCGCTCGCCGGGGTGCCGGCGGGGAGCACGCGGCCGGCGTGGGGCGGCCCCGATCGCAGCCAGAAGGAAAGCGCTCCCTGGTTCAGACCGCGTCCCCACCCCCAAAGCCGGGCGCACGCGGCGGCGGGATGACAGGCGCGGGGGGGTGCTCACCAGAAGAACACGCGCGAGCAGAGGTTGGCGTTCTGCAGCGGGTTGGGCTTCACCTCCGTGTACACCGGCAACATCTTGGCGGCCGCGCGGCCGCGAGCCGGGTGGCGCTGCTCCGGCGGCGGTGTGTCCCCGCTGCTCCCCGAGCCGCCGGCAGGGATGCTGGAGCTCCGGCCGCCTCTCCGGTCCGCTCGGCTGGAGCCGCGAAATCACCCGCTTCCGGGAGGAGAGCCCGGCGGCCCGCCCCGTCCCCGCCTCCAGCGCCCAGGCCGCGCCGGGGCCGCTGCTGTGGCTGCCGCTGCGGCTGCCGCTGCCGCTGCCGCCAACGCCCCCGCCTGGAGCCGGGAGTCGGGAGCCGCGAGGCAAAGGGTCCACGCGAGGAGCGGGAGGCCGGGCCCACGCTGCCGGGCCACGCGCTGATGCGAGGCGAGGCCCGGGCGCTGTTGGATGGAGACGGTAGAGGGACCACGGGCCCTTTGCCCCGGTACCAGCGGCCCACGTGCTCAAACCTGGTCGCAAACTTTACGGAGTTTGTGCTCCGACCTCAGGCACCAGCTAAGTAGAGAAGGGAGGCGCCGGCTCTGCCCGCCCCCGCCGCTCAGAAACGCCCCCCTCGGCTGCGGTTTCGGAAGACCTGCAGAAAGCTGCCAGCTGCCCTCTTTGGAACCAAACAAAGGTGCTGTGGGAGGTCCTCCAACCTGAGAGTGAATATTTGACCTGGACAACAGCAGGGTTTAGCACAGATTCCCTTTGTAGAGCCGCAACACCTAAACAAAGGTACCAAGATTAGAAGAACTCAGAATTTGGAAGATGAAAGCGTGCTGTCATCTCACGTGTTGCATTATGCTGAGGGCCTCTGTGAGCTTTTTGCTGCCCTCTTAGATTGGGAAAGGAATGTGGGGAGGGAGAGAGTGCATTGTGGGTGAAAAGGGGGTCACATGCTAACCTGACAAGCTCAGGCAAGGCCTGTGTGGTGGCCTTGCAACCTCGGAGACCTAAAGTAACCACAAAGGATGGTCTGAAATTAAAATTCTTTTAATTAAAAAGTCTGTGGTGGGTAGTCATGTCCTAGGCCAGTGTCTTCCCTGACAAAGATCAACTTTGACCTTAACTGAGCCTATTGTCTTTTTGCATCTTCTATAACAAACCTTTGGAAAGTCAAGGTAACTTCCCCTTTCTCCCCTCCCCCACCTCTGAACCCCACAGGACACAATCAATGCACCAGGGCGGAGACCACAAATTCCCTCATTGCTACTGTTATCCTGTTAATTGTTGACTGTTAACTAATCTGTACCCACCTGTGTAAAAGAAGCTTGTGTCCATCATTTTACTTTTTTAAGTTTATTTTTATTGATTTTAGAGAGGAAAGGAGAGGGAAATATAGAAACATCAATGATGGAAATCATTGATTGGCTGCCTCCTGCACACCCCACACTGGGGATTGAGCCTGCAACCCGGGCATGTGCCCTGACTGGTAATTGAACTGTGACTTCCTGATTCATAGATCGAGACTCAGCCACTTGAACCACTCCGGCTAGGCTCATTTTGCTTTTTATCCAATCCCAGAGGTCTTTGCTTTCTCATGTCTCCCTAATCTATTGCCAATGGATTTCATGTAATCCACTTAAGTCTCCTCTTTTGACTGTGATGTATAAAACAATGCTCAAAACTGCCATTCTCTGAAGCACTATCTCAATCTGTTGAGATTCTGCTTCCTGGCAATTGTCTACAATTTGGGGCCAAAAAAAAACTCCGGAAAAAACTTTTTTCCCGGTGTTCAAAAATTTTTTTTAAGGTTAAAAAGCCTTTTGGATTTTTTTTCCCCCCCTCTTTTTAGGAAAAGGGGGGTTTCCCACCCTCCCTAAAGCTGGGGGCCCCCCCTTGTTGGGGGGGGGCCCCCCAACAAAAAAAATATTTTTTTGTTGCCACTTTCAAAAACCAAAATTTGCCACTTTTTATGAAATTGTTAATGTAAAATATCCGATATGGCCAAATGGTTTTTTCCGAATGTCTTTAGGAGGCCCCTATGAAAAGGTCGTTCGACCCCCAAAGGGGTCGCGACCCACAGGTTGAGAACTGCTGTCTTAGAACCTAGTGAAGAGTAGCAAGTGGTACATACGTTTCCGAATACCAGTCGTGCACACTTCTGGGGTCCTTACCTCACTTTTATATATATATAATTTTTTTTTTTTTTTTTTTTTTTTTACTAGAGGCCTGGTACACGATATTCCTGCACTGGGAGGGGAGTCCCTCAGCCTGGCCTGCACCCCTTGCAGTCTGGGACCCCTTGGGGGTCCTTAGCACGGCCGCAGAGCAGTGAGCCCAGCTTCTGGCTGAGCCGCACTTCCCCTGTGGGAGCACACTGACCACCACGGGGCAGCTCCTGCATTGAGCATCTGCTCCCTGGTGGTCAGTGCACGTCATAGCGACCAGTCATTCTGCCATTCACTCAATTTGCATATTAGCCTTTTATTTGCATATTAGCCTTTTATTATATAGGATTGATTTCAGAGAGGAAGGGAGAGGGAGAGAGAAATAGAAGCATCAATGATGAGAGAGAATCATTGATCGGCTGTCTCCTGCACATCCTTCACTGGGGATCAATCTCACAATCCAGGCATATGCCCTTGACCGGAATCAAATCCAGGACCCTTCAGTCTGCAGGCCGACGCTCTATCCACTGAGCCAAACCAGCTAGAGCCTTACCTCACTTTTAACTGTGATAATGCCTGAATCAAGAAGGTATTATCCCTATTTTACAGATGAGAAAGATGAGGTTCAAGAACAAAACTTGTCCAAGGTCTGCCCTGGCCAGTTTGGCTCAGTGGATACAGTGTTGGCTTATGGACTGAAGGGTCCCAGGTTTGATTCCGGTCAAGGACACCTGCCAGGGTTTCAGGCTCATCTCCAGTATCTCCAGTGTGAGGTGTGCAGGAGGCAGCCAATCAATGGTTCTCTCTCATCATTGATGTTTCTATCTCTCCCTCTTCCTTCCTCTCTGAAATCAATAAAAATATATATTTTTTTAAAACTTGTCCAAGGTCTTAGAGTTAGTAAATGATGAAACCCAATTGAGACTTAGCTCCAGAGACCAGCATGGTCTGGATAGTCAGTGTAGGAAATAGGCCTCTAAGATCCATCTCCAGCATAGTCAACTTTTAATGGAACCGGTTACTGAATTTCCCCAGGGAAAACAGAATGGAGGGAGGAGGGAGGAGGATATAAGAACAAAGAACTGTGGATGAGAGCCAACACCTTGGTGGAAACTCCCCTGAGGCGAGCCTGCTGCAACTACACAGGGGGAGGTGGAGATACTAGAAAAGGCCTCAGCCCAGTGTTTTTAAATGGCCTACTGTGAGACCATAAGACCTAGGCGAGGTGTGAGGAAACAGGTGACCCCATGTACTCAGCCAATGAGGAAGTGGAGGAGGGGCTGGATAAATAAACTGTGATTGCTACTCCATGTATGCCTGTACAACCGGATGGACACCCACTCTCCAGAACGTATTAAACGTCTAATTTTCTCCATACTTCTGTCTCTGAGTCTGTTATTTGAATTCGGACAGGTGAGCATTTCTCGGTCAGTGTGCATGAAAAGTGCCCAGAACCCACTGGTTGAAATGGGACGGTCAACAAATCAACAAACAAGTGCCGGCGAGGATGTGGAGAAAAAGGAACCCTCGTGCACTGCTAGTGGGAATGCAGACTGGTGCAGCCACTGTGGGAAACAGTATGGAGATTTCTCAAAAATTTTAAAAATGGAATTCCCAATCGACCCAGTGATCCCACTTCTGGGAATATATCCCAAGAAACCAGAAACACCAATCAGAAAGGACATATGTATCCCTATGCTTATAGCAGCAC